TGTATATGTGTATGTATATGTATGTATATATATATATATGTATATGTATATGTATATGTATATGTATATGTATATGTATATGTATATGTATATGTATATGTATATGTATATGTATATGTCTGTATGTGTGTGTATATGTATATATATATATATGTGTGTATATATATATATATATGTGCAAGACTTTAGGCTGTAGTTAGGGTCCAAACATCCTCCGCAGATCCCATGACGTTTCCCGCAAGTCCTTGATTTCTGGACCCGAAGAGTGCTAGGTACTGCTGTGGGGCATTCTTTCCCATATCATAATCGTGAATTCTCATTTTAAAAAACCCTACATTCGACTGTATATATATATATATATGTATCTACTCACATACATACATAACTACAAACAAACATACATACATACATACATACATACATACATACATACATACATACATACATATATATATATATATACATACATATATTTATATATGACCCTTTAGAACAAGAGGCCTGCCTGAAGGTCCGATCTTCCGCCACGACATGGCCCGCCAGCGCTGCCACTGCATTGGTCTTCAGATGCCTGGCAGCGGGAGGGACAGTCTATAACACAGGGGCCTCAATAATTCGAAACAGGGCTTTGAGGGGGGTATATGATACTAAAAATGTAATAAGGACCCCCCCCACCCCTCAAATAGTGCTTGTAATTATTTAGGCCCCTATTTTATAGGAATTCGGGCTTAAGGATTGTGGGTTTCTAGGGATATAAAATCTAACCCCCTCGAACCCTGGAGCTCCAAGTGTACAAATAGAACCCTAAACCCCAAACCCTAAACCAGCCCTAAACCCGAAAACTTTAACCCTAAACCCTAAACCCAGTCTGTTGATAGTTAATAGTAGCTACTTAAAGCTATTTTTTGGAGGTCCAGGGAAAGCCCTAAAGTCCTACACCCTTCAACCGTCAAGCCTAGAGCCGTAAACCCAAACCCTAAGCTGAGGGTTTAGGGTTTAGGGTTTAGGTTTTAGGGTTTAGGGATGCTGGGCTAAGCTCCTTGGACTTTGCGTGCTCTCTAGGGCCATAAGGTTCAAGGATTAGGTTAGGGTGTACTGGTAGTTTGCTAGTTTATTGATGACGGACAGAATGCCGCCAAACCCAAAACCCAAAACTCAAGACCCAAAACCCAAGACCCCAGATGAAAAGGGCTGCAGCCCGAACGGGGCCAAAGCAGCCCTTACATGCGAGCTCTTCTGAAAGCTCATGTCATTGAAGTACGGGCAGTTCTCTAAACTAGGGTGCGGTACTATCTGTGGGACCTGAAAAGGGACCAACTTAGAGAACTACCCACGTGCTTTCTTTAGAAGGATCCTATAAACGAAAAAGGAACCTACGTAGCCTATAGGAAGTTGTGAGTTTATACGATTGAGGGGCTGGCTTTACTACTTTAGGGTTTGGGGCTTCGGGGTTCTGAACAACTATCGATCAGGGTTTAGGGTTTAGGGTTTAACCCTGCCCCTCCTGCTGTACTTGCGGTAGGTGGCCACAGGGGCGACTTGGTTCACAGCCGCCGTGATGTGCTCTAACACCTGCCACGGACCGGATCTACAGTGATGGCGGCTTTCAGTTTGGTACCCTGAGCCCTAAACTAAACTCGAAATCACGAAACCCCTGAAACCGAAGCCAAAAAAGGACTCTGAACCCCCAAATTCCCCCCAAAGCCCAAGCTTTTGGGGTTCAGGCCCTATAAACCCTAAACCCTAAACCCTAAACCGGGAGGCAGGTCAGAGGTTCAAGTTTGGGGACACGACAGCTTTGAGCCCTCAGCTGCAACTCTTGGATGGGGCTTCGGTCTTAGTTTGGCTGGTTGGTTTTAGGGTTTAGGGTTTAGGGGTTCATAGGGGTTTCGGTCTTAGTTTGGTTGGTTGGTTTTAGGGTTTAGGGTTTAGGGGTTCATAGGGGTTTAGGGGGTTTAGGGGGTTTAGGGATAGGGTTCAGGGTTCCCTCGCCCTTGTTTCAGCAGAATTGAGAGCTTGAGCTGCTCCGATGTGGTTTGCTTCTTGGTTTAGGGTGTAGGGCTTCTGGAAACTGGGTATATACCCACGAAACTTGGGGCAGAAACTGAATTTCAGTCTGGCCCGATTCCCCAAGACCCTAACCCTAAACCCTAAACCCTATAAACCCCATAAGCCCTAGACACCCCATAATCCCTAGAAGCCCTCAACCCTAAACCCTAAACCGTCCCTAAACCCTAAACCCTAAACCCTCTAAGCCCTGCAAACCCACCAGACCCTGAGCCGGCCGTTGCGTTGCACCTCTAGTTGTGGTTTAGGGTTTAGAGTTTGGGGTTTAGGGTTTAGGGTTTAGGGTTTGGGGTTTAGGGTTTAGGGTTTAGGGGTTGAGGGCTTACCTGGCGATCCCAAAAACCAACCGTTTTAAGGGTTCCACCCTCTAAATAAAGGGGTCATAACCTACTATTTTGTAGGGTTTGGGGTCACACGTACGGTTCAGGGTTGGGATTTGGGAGTTTAGGGTGCCGCCTCCGCCCAACGTTGATCAGAAGAGACTCTAAAGCGGTCCGGAACCCCAAACCCTAAACCGCTAATGTAGGGGCCTTAATAATTAGACTAAGGTTTCGGGGCCTCTTATACTATGGTTATAGTAAGGAACCCCAAAATCGTATAGGCAGTATAGGTAAT